CGCTGCTGCTGGAGCAGCTCTGCAGGCTGACTCCTTCCCTCTGTTCAAAGGAGACCCCGGCCCGGGCCTCTCGCTCATCAGCAGAGCTGAGCCCGGGAGGAAGCTGAGAAAATGAGCACTTTTAATTAACCCGGCGCTGGGGCCCTGCCCTGACACTGGGCTGCCCCGCAACCAAAGCAGCGGCTTCCTCATATTAAACTCTGTCCCCTTATCAGGGCGTATTGTCATCTCTGTTGATGAAGCCTGTTCTTATCATTGTCCAGCTGCTTCCCTGGCTGCTGCAGTTGGTTATTTATTACCTGCTGCAGCCAACACTATGGCAGTCAGGGAGTTTCTGAGGGAAAAGGACTGCCTGCAGGTCTTTACGGCTTTATCCCGTTTGCCTGCTTTACCAAGATTTATCCCAGAACGCTGACCGGTCCAGGAATCACTCTCAGCCAAACATCTGGGCTCCCTATCTAGTCGATAGAGATGGAGGGAGTAGAGGTTAACTTGTCCTTGCAGGTCTGACACATCCTTCAATGGTGCTGAGCCCAGAGGGGGCCCAGGATCTAAACATTCCAGCCATGTAGCTAGAGCTGGAGGCGCTGAATCCAGGCCTTGTGCTTTTCCTGCGGAAATCACTATGATTATTACTATTTCCTTGCGTTTTGGGGACTGCTCAGGAACCCAAATTACAGACATGTTAAACACAACAAAAAGACATCTGTGCCCCAAAGAATAAACCATCTGTGGTCAAAGGCCTTAGTTTGGGTTTATTTATGAAAGCAGCTTTTGTAGTCATTTACCTTCAGTCTGTGTTCCCTTCTAGGGCATCTACAGCCTCAGCAGTGTGGGCAGTGACATTGCTGTGCATCAGAAGGGGGTGGAGGACACTGGGCATTAGGTCTCCTTTCTCTTAGGTTAACATCAGGCACCCCAGCACTCCCTGCAGCGAGGCACAGACAGTGTAAATGTTAGCCCCCACTGCATGGGCACAAGCAGGCAGGATGGAAGAGAAAATGAATGGCCTATGCTGGTGTGATGTTCATACAAGACCTTCTCCTTTCGCAGGCTCCTATTATTTAACCACCACCTATGGGGCCCTGGAGCACATCAAGAACTACGACAAAATCACCGTCACGCGGCAGCTGAGCATGGAGGTGCAGGACTCCATTCACCGCTGGGAGCGGCGGAGGACATTGAACAAGGCCCGGGCTTCCCGCTCATCAGTGCAGGTAGCTGGCATTACTTTCTAGGGAAAAAGCCTGGAAGATGAACATGCTCTCTCCGTGCTTTCTAATTTTTAATATGATAATAATTTTAAAACAAAATTAACCCATATCACTATTAAAAAACAAGAGCACATACTATGCAAGATTCCCAAATCTTAAAAGAACACCTCATTTGAAATATATATTACTTACAAAATGCGTTTTGAAGTCTTGAAGTACTTAAATATGACTGCAGAGTGATTTTGTTGTGCATTCTCGATGGTGGTGTGCTAGGAACCTTCACATGTGGAGAGCTGTGGTGGGGAGGCAGGGAGCCCGTCTTCTCCATTGCCCTTAGGCCCTGGAGAAATCAAGGGCTAAGTTGAGGACATGTGAGCAGGTGGTGCAGGGGTGGTTCCTAGATGGCATAAAGCTGTAGGAGGACCTGAGACATCCCAAGGACTAGTGAGACAAGCATCTTCCAGAGCCTCACTTCTGTTCAGCAGCAGGACAGACTCAACAATGGCTGGCTAGCTTTGAAGTCCATGCTGTGTGTTGATTTGAAGCCCATGGTGTGTATGGCCCGGCAAAGTCCTCCCCGTGCACCAGTGGGAGGGAGTTCCAGGAGGGATGGGTGCTCTGGGCCTCTAGCCATGGTGAGGCTGGGTGCAGGACCAGGCAGTCAGGATGCCCTGACAGCCCCATGTCCTGTGATCAATTTATCACCCACAGGGAGGCAGCAAAGGCCATATCTCAGGTTCTGTAAAGACCACTGTGCAAAACTGAAAATTGTGAATGCCAAGGGCAAAGCCAGGGGAAAGTCTCCTGGACTTGGAGTTGAATATGTTTCCCCTGTTGCAGTCAAACAGTCCCTGATGATCTCAGAACTTGTGAATGGTGGATGGGATACACCAAATATCTATCCAGCTCCTAGCACTGCTCTGGCAGTAGCTCATAGCAAGAACCCAGCATGGAGCATAATAGCTGAGCAAGCAAATGCCACATTTCCCCAGAGGATTCCTACCACCTCCAGCAGTGTAAGGGCTGTTTTCCGTTCCTTAATGAGGGATAACATCAGAGACATGTGAGCCCATCCTGGCAGAGGTAAACAGTTTGCTGATGTGTTCAGCATGCCCCTGCACAGCCCTCTGGCAGCCTTAATCATCTGCAGTGATACTCCATAAATGCAGTTTGGAAATCAGTAGTCCATATATTTGGCAAATCTCACTTCTGCTGGGGAACCTGAGTATTTTCTGACCAAAATGGTGGGGAATTTTTTTGAACTTCACAGATACAAATTAAACACGCAGGTTCCACTGTGGCCAAAAGCTCTCTAGATTCTGTTCCTCATGAATTTGGCAAAAGGACAGCCATCCCAACGGTCGTTACTGCCTGAAACAGGATACAAGTAAATCAGCCTCCTCAGCATAACTTCTTCTTCAGTTTCCTTACTGATGGAAGGAAGTTTGGAGGACACACTCTCAAGGTGCTGTTTGGGTGATGGTGGAGTTACAAGGGTCACCGCACTGCCAGCCCCTTCCTGTTTCTATGAGACAGGGGGTTTTCAGGCCAAATCTTTGAGGGTTTTGGCTTGTTATTCTGGTCTGTTACTTCTTTGCATCCTGTTTCTTCAGGAGCTGCAGAAAGGTGGGAGAAGGAACTGTTGCAGACTGCTCACTAGGGATATTCACCAAAATCAGAAAAAAGCTTTCACTTATGTGTCTTTACAGGGCTAATTATTTGTTTAAGAGTTTGTTAGTTTAAGAATTTGCTGGTTCAGAGCTTATTTGTCAGAGTGAGAAAGGAGAGAATAATTAAGGCATTGAGGAATGACTGGAGGACATTTGGGAATGTTTAGGAGCTCTAGGCAGCTAGAGCTTTGGGGTTGAATTCTATATACCTCCTTCAGTCCTAAGTCAGTGTGTTAACTGCAAGATCCATTTTCATGTTTCTCTCCAGGATTTCATCTCTATCTCCTTTCTGGAAATCGGTGCTCAGTCAAGGACACTTGCTTCCCGCAACGACACCACGACTGAGCAGCTGAGCCAGCAGTGTGCCGAAAAGTTTGAAGTCACCCATCCCAAGGACTATGGACTCTTTGTTCATGTTGATGACCAGTGGCTGCAGCTAGACAAAGATGCTCTTCCTCACCATATCAAAGCCTCCCTGCTGAAGAGTGAAACCAAGAAAGATTTCCATTTTATTTATAAACCAATAGACCATAAATCCCCACCAGTTCCAATTGTTAAAGGGTCAGACTTTCCCTGAGGGCTGTGATGCTCTTTTATTGTGTTTGCTGTCATCCTGGAAGGGCTGGATAGTTTATCCCATGAGCTACTCTGGTATCTGCAGGCCTCAGAAGGTCTCTGGAGCGTGGTCTTTGACACAGGGCAGATGTGCTAATTGTAGATGCTGTCTGAATACAGGGCATTTCTCAGCAGAGTTCATTTGCAGAAATAAAAGGAGCATTCAGGAGAACATTCATCCTCTGGAAAACTTGAAGTATCAAACATTAGAACCTCCCACTGGCAACCAGCCAACGTCCGAGAATGTAAATGGACAGCAGAGAAAATCCAGAGATCTTACAGAAAATTGGACATTTACTCCATACTAAATTATGGCAGGTGTGAATCACCTCTGTGCACAAGGCCTGTGAAAGGTCTGCACACACCTCAATCTGTTTCGAGGTAAGACTGCGTTTACACCTTACAGTATCTGTTCACCTCGTTTGAATAAAATGAGTCATCTGATGTATTCAGTGGAATAGGGTTGCCACCTGTAGCAGAACTCCATCTCTGACTTGCTGTCTACAACATGTCATTGCCTTTGAAATCCGCGTAACTACAGACCATGCAAGATAATCCTGTACGTTCACTAAGAATACATTTTCTGCCACCTATTTGTCACTGAAATCAGGTAGCATAGGCATTTTCATCAATGTATTTTTCTTAAAGATTGAAAGTCTTCACCATCAGTTTTACAGGTACAGCAGTTTTAATCACATTGGTTGTATGATAGTGTCTGGTTAATTGTATATTTATTTCCATGTGTCATATGGTGCAATTATTTTAAAATAAACCTTTGTAAAGAACTTAATAATTTGCCCAGTGTAGCAAACTAGATTAAAATTTGAAAGTCAAAAAGAGCTAGAATTAAATACCTTTTTACCCAGATGTCATTTTCTCTACTATTTTCATATCTACAAGTCCCACCAGGTTATTACTTTAATAAATTTGGGCTACTGAAGACAGAACTCACTAATTGTCCTTTCTACCCGTGCTTTCAGTAATTCAGTCATTGTAGACTTAAATTTTCCTGCAAACCTAAATTCCCACAGAATAAATTGAACCAATGCAAAAATGTGTTTCATGAAATTTGCAAACAGTTTTTCAGGACCGGATAATGGAAGCAGGAGCCTTTATTGCAAGACCAGTCTATGTCTTCTAGGTGCCTTCATTCAGGCAAGATTCCCACTAGGAACACAAGAGACCAGATTGTCTGCATGCAGGAGGCAAGCCACCTGCACTGCAGCAACACAAATTTGGGATCAGGCCTAGTAAAGCTCTGATTAGAAAGAAAAGGTGTTTTACTGTGGGTTTTGCTCGAAGCTGCTTTTTTTGCTCGAAGTTGTTTCCTCCCACTAACATTCATAAAAGAATTGGGACATGTTGGGCCAAGTTGCCCAAGGTCCCTGCCTTACTCCTGCACCTCCAAAGGTAAAATGGTACCACATGTAGCTGGTCACTGTCAGTCTCTGAAGCTTGAAATGTCTGCATCTACGTGCCCCAGCTGTAGCGTACACTGGCCAGATCGCAAACCAGTGCTGTGCATCTGTCAGTTCGGTCTGCGTGCGTGTTGTTGGGAAGGGACAACAACCAAGAATGAGGAACAGTGAATAACAGCAATCTTGGTTTCCAGGACATCATGTGCTTGCAGTGTGTGACACCGGCACTGAGCTAACTCCAAATTCATGGTTATTTCTGCTCATGTGCATCTGTCAGCACCTCTGCCTTGCCTCTGGGCAGCACGCCTGCAGGATGCCAGAGCTGAACTCCTCCCTCGCATTGCCATTAACCTCTTGCAGGGCAGCGTGCTCCTGCTGGGAGTCTGTGCTGCTCTCAGGGTGGCACCGGGGATGCTGGGACCAAACCTGAACTACAGGTTTCCAGTACCGATCTGACAGAGGAGATGCTGCTCTCAGGGCCCTGAGGGCACTCACAGGTGTTGCTGCCTCCAGTGCCACCCCAGGGCCACCCCACCTGGCCCAGGACCCCATTTCAGCCCCCCAGGGCTGTCAGCCCCTGCCCCAGTGATGCTGCAGCAGGGCTGGTCTCCAGCTCCCCACAGCCTCCCCACCCCTCCTGCCTGGCCTCAGCCTGTCCCCATGCCCAGGGAGGTGCCTGATGCCCAGGACTGGGGCTGCCCCTGGTGCTCCCCGCTGTCCCAGTCCTGGCTGTAGCTGTGGGCTGGGCCCCCAGGGAACCCCCATCGTGCTGGTCTCGCTGCCCCAACAGCACCTTCCCCGTGTCCATCCTGCAGGCTGCGGCAAGTACGTCGGCTCTCATCCTTCCTCCATGCTGCCGTGGATGTCGTGTGCAATGGCTTGGTGGCAGGCCCTCACTGGGGGCTGCATCCCCTGGGCATTCTGCTGTGAGGCAGCACATCCACACCCTGCCTGGCGCCTCGGCGCACCACCATCCCTGCGTGTTGGGGGATGGGACTGCCTCATGGCAGTTCCCCCCTCTGGTGAAATCCCTGACACACAGTGCAGAGAGGCTGGTTGTCCTGTTTCCATTGTAGGTATCGACACTGATGTCCATATGTCCTGAGGGCTGACCTGCTCCATGTTGGCCATACCGAGGATGATGTTGGCTTTCACCCTGGGAGCAGTGGCAGCAGGAGGATCCAACCTCTGGGCAGCATCACTTATGAACCTTCCTTTTTTCTCAAACCTACCCCCTACACACACTCTCCAAATCCTCCATTTTTTACCCACTCTCCCAAAGGAAACATCCCTCACCTGCTTCTTGCCTCCCTTCCCCACCCAAACCAGGGCCCAGACTAGCTCTCTGGCCCACCTCCCACTGCTCTCCTCACCCCCCTTGGTAGGACTCCAAGCCACAGACCCACCTCTCATCCCACCACCTGTGCACAGGTGTCATGCCACATGGGGTCCATGTACAGCAGGGCTGGAGATCCCCAGCACCACACCCACAGAATGGGGGGGGGGGGGCGAGATGGGGGGGGGGGGGCGGTGTCTGACCAGCAGCTTAGTTCTGCTGTGGCTTCTGCAAGTTATTTTTAAGCCTGGGGAGCAAAGATGTCTATGTCTGCCAGAGTCCTTGGCCTGATCAGGTTATCTTTATACTGTAACATTCACAGTTAATGAGCCTAAAGTAATCTGATGAGGTTGAGGCTAAAGTAGAAACACGCGAGGAAGTAAGTTAGGATGGATCTTCTGCTGGATATTTCTGAAGAGCAACTGGACTTTGCACTGGCCAGGAACAAGCAACAGATTGATGAAGTGAAGCGCTCGGGCACCTCGCAGCATCCTGGGATGTCTGAGTCAGCAGCTGGACCTCGGGGCAAGGGGAACCACGGATGTACAGCTGGTCAGTGGAGCACATGGAACCCATGACAGTGCTAAATCACTGCAAGCCAAACGGGCTGAGGCTGGAATTTACCAACGTCTAGTCCCAGTTTTCAAAATGCGTGGAGTGCCAGCTGAATTTCCGTGGTCTTTCACTAAGGGTCTCAAATTGTCATGCAGCATTTTCCTCTGGCATAACAACTGCAAAGCTCCTCACGAGGGGGAGAGAAGGGGCAGGCGCAGATCTCCTCCCTCTGGTGACCAGTGACAGAACCCGAGGGAATGGCATGAAGCTGCTACAGGGAAGGTTTAGGTTGGATATCAGGAAAAGGTTCTTCACTCAGAGGATAGTCAGGCACTGAAACAGGCTCCCCAGGGAAGTGGTCACAGCACCAAGCTTGACTGAGTTCAAGAAGTGTCTGGATAACGCTCTCAGTCATATGCTCTGATTCGGCTGGTCCTGTGTGGAGCCAGGAGTTGGACTCGAGGATCCTCTGGGTCCCTTAGGATATTCTATGATTCTATGATTCTAAAGCTCTGATTTGATTTGCAAAGGTTGCCATGGCTCTCCCAAACTCAGGGAGATTACTGACAGTAATGTGAATTACTGTGTCTGATGCTGAGCTACCTGGAAGGAAATCCCTGTGCGGGGGCTTGGTGCAGAGCAGGGCTTGCTCAGAGGCCCTGGGGCACTTGGCCTCTTTGGTCACATTGTATAAACCACCAGCAACAACTTTGCTAAACGCACATCTCTGGGGTACAGGATGACCCAGCTCCTCCAGGGCTTGACCACAGCTGTCTCTTGTCAGGGGACACAAGCTGGGAGATGACACAAATGAGGGGATCCTGGAGGACCCAGGACAGAGGTGGGTGCCACCTCTCTGGGCTCACAGCTCTGTGGTGGCACTCAGGCTCTGCCTGTGCCAGGGTAATGCAGAAACAGCCTGTCTGGAACAAATGTGCCGCTGCTTTGGTAACCCTGGCAAAGCTCTGAGTCGCCAGTGTGGAGAATGCTGGAGAGGTTCAGCATGTCCTTCTATCTGAAGCCTGGTGTCCAGGGTCCTGCGCTGCTTTGGGCTGGTCTCTGACATTTCGGATGGTGAGGAGAAAAAAAAAAAAAGTCAAACGTGGGAATGAAATGGGTGTTTTTAAATGCTCCATGGGATTTTATGCATTTGCTTTGCCATGGGGTGCAAACCAGGCAGAAGCAGTCCAGTCTGGTGATCTGTGGCAGCCCTTTGTTAAGCAAGATAGCTGTGTGTCGTCTCATGCTCTGGCTCTCACGTGAGCCATCAGCAGGCAAGAGTGTTTCAGGAGACTTTGACCAAGTAGGGTTGTGTAATCTAGCCAAGGCCTCCTCAAACACCCGTTTGCAGAGAAACATTGTGCAACCATCGCTCATTTACTCAGAAGGAAAGGATCCCAGTGTGAGAGAGGAACAGGGAGACCTGCTG